CTTTGACCTGAGTAGGGGAGGGAAACCCTGGTACAAATTAAAACACTTGGTTAAGTTGACGATGCCTGTAGTGTACCAGTATAATTCAATCAATATGTATTTGAACTATGGTGCCATCAGTGTATCATTAAATATTTCACGATTCTAATGTCTATACAACAAGTTTGGTGGCTCTATCAGATCTGTTGTTGATGTCATTTAATACAGCCGTGTGGTCATTTATGACATTCAAACAGACATTAACTATCCTGAAACAATGAATGTGGGTTCAGCTCGTCATATTTATAGAGTCCCACATTTTATAGCAATTGTTAAACGTTGTTCAATATTTCCCTATTAAAGATACAATGTGATATACATGAATGATAAACACAGCCATTTTCCAACATCCTGTGACAAAATTACTATTGATTTAGGCAATTGTTAGCCATATCAATCTGTGACCTATTCTCATTTGTATTCCTACTTGAATGACCTATACAGGTTATATTTAACACAAATAACATAAACTTCCCACTTTAAACCTATATGAAGTTTCTTTACAGCGTCTATATCCCAAGGCTGATCCTGCTGTTTAAGAATTATTTACCAGGCACACTAGAAATCTCAACTCAAATCTTAAACAAAATAGCTGAGGCTTTAATAAAAAAAAAATAAAACAAAATAAGAATCCAGGAATATCCTTGTTCCATATCCTGTTATACTTGACTGACAGATCAGGTTACCATCTACTTGTATATTAGACAATGATCTAGCTCTTTGTGTTATAATTCCGTATAAAACACTATAATGTGTATGTTCTATAACTACATAACCATAAGCACCTGTTTTCCTTTAATCTATAATCTGCATCTCAACATGTTTCATGGTAGATTTACATTCAGGTAATATCTAAGGTTATCAGCTAAATATCATATACAAGTTAACTGTGAAAGAGCCTTTTACAGTTGAGTACGTCTGTAACCAATACGTAAATCTGATTTACGACTACAAGAGAGAGTTCCAAATGTCCAAAGTCACATTAATTCATGTTTGGTATGAAAACTGAGAAAGATGATTGATAAATTTCTGTTTAATTTCAATGTTTATCGTATCAGGTATATCAAGAACACTCCTGTGTATACCCTCCCTCTTAGAGGTGTTTGACGTCTACAGAGGATATGGACCCCAATTACACCAAAGAATCTCATCTTTAATACCTTTTACAACAATGCCTTACAATGGAAAAATGAATTTTACTTCAGCTATAAAACAGAAATTACATTAATTTCCTTCTAATTGATGTCCCATTTTTTACTTACTAAAAAGCATCCACTTAGCATAATTTTTATGTCATAATTACTTGTAAGATGACTAATCCACAATCACCCTTTTAGCAATGTTTATTTAATCATATTTCATATATATCATTTCTAAGCACTATCACCAAAAAAATGATTGATTTCTTTAAAATGAAATCAATAATGTATTTCAAGCACTTTCAAGATTGTATTGTTTGCTCTGACAGATTATTTTGACAGGAAATCAAATTTTGAAGAAAGTTTTAATAAATACTAGCGCTGTGGTCTAACATTACTAGTAGCTGTTTTTAGAGTAAAGCATATCCTGGTGGTGCCTTATCAGTGTGATTTAAATCCTGTATAATGACTTAGAACATGTGATTACTGTACTTCATAACCTTTTGATTTCATTTAACTCATTTATAGTAGATTGTGCGTTATCTTAATAACCCCAGTCACACTTTCTGTTCTCTATAATGTATTTATCAACTTTATTGGCAAATAACAGACATTGTGTCAAATCAGATAATTAATTCGAAAGAAAGTCCAGGTAAGTGATTCATACCACCCTCATACAGGTACATGAAATTCTACTGCAATTAAGAAAATTAATTCAGTTTCTCATTAATTCATTGGACTGATATATGGCAGGAAAACATCTGTAGAAAACTAAATGTGATACTAAGAAAGCTCTTTACCCTAAACAGTATGTACTTTACATAATTTCAGCATTTGGTTACAAAGGCCACAAACAAAACAGAGGTGGTGTTAAGCTGATTATGTCTCTATAGGTCCACCACAGGTCCACCAATACACTTGCTTTTGTTCCTTTATCCATTGTGATAGCCATTATACGTACTTAACGCAGTGTCAGCTTTGTACGGAGCTTTGTTTTATGAACATAAACCCCCTGATATTACTTTCAATTAAATCTGATAACTTAAATTTGGGTTAAAATAGACACTTATTGTGAAAGTATGTCATTTTATAAAACAAATTTTATCAAAACTTATTTGAAATGAATATCAACCAAATGCGGTATTTCTACCTTTAAGCTACATATAGTGTTAACAATGGGTCAGAAATATTGTAAGCTGTTTAAGCATATTTAGTAATCATTGAACCTTGAATCTTTGTAAATGCACACCAATATCATTACTCATTTCATGTATAAAGCAGTCTCGATGTAAATTCTTTTAAAATTGGGTCAAAACAAGTGTTCAATTAAGTGTTAGAATTAATATTGTTACACAGGTTTATCGTGAAAATTACAAATATTACTTTACTTTCATAAAACTGCTCAACACAGTCATTATGATGTATCACTATCCTAAACCCAACTAAGGTAACATGCAAACATTGTCTGAAGTTTCTCAGTAATAAAATTGTTTAATTAAAATATATCTTTTCAATATTTTCTCATTTAGGAATTGATGACATGTTTATAAAGGAATCTATACATCAAGGATTTGAAACAACACATTCCTCAGTAAAATACTTGGCACCAACTCATTACCAATTCTTTATCAATTTCTTTCAAATCATGATATAAAGTATTTAGACTGGTGGCATTATAGCATTATGAACTCTATGTACATCTAGAATACATACAAACTGTTATTCATGATGGCTATTAATTCTAGTCATTGTTAATTTTATGTTAAAAATCTAATTTGGTGCTGTAAATGAAAATATTCTAATTATCCCCTTGTTAAGAGAATATTAATGTCCACTTCATACAGCACCTGCTATGTCTTGAAAGCTTGTTAGAAAAAAATGAAAGAACAATTATTCATGATCCCCAGACTTTGACATACATGTAGTAGAAAGTTGTTGCCTATGCATGACTATTTCTAGTTTATAGCATGTTCCCTTGTCACTGCATGCTAAAAACATATGAAACTAAGTTATTATGTAACATAAACCAGAAGCTGATAACATCTTTAATGATAAATACCTGATATGAAATCAAATACAGAAAACAAATAGACAATCCTGACTATTTTAATTACAACAATTTTAAGACATCAATGTACTTATTCTGTGTTGTTAGGGACCTACTAATTCTCCTTGTGTAACAGACATCACTATAACTGCTGTACAGACAGGTTACTTACGTAGTATAAACCCTTTAGTAGCGTAACACACCACGAGACTTTGAACTCTCCCAGCTTAGTTATACAGAAAAAGAAATATTGTGTCTCATAAAGAAGAACATTCAATATTTCTACAGCCATTTTTGCTGTGTAATACATTTTTTGTTTCTTTTTTATCTTCAAATATGTTTAAATGATTGATTTTCCATAGTTACATACAAGCCATTTTGGATCTGTGAAGATTTATAATCAATTCCATGACATAGTAAATTTAAATTTCCCTTTGTTTTGTTTACTTTACTATCCAAATTCATCCCTGCTACTTAACTCAATAAACATTGGGTTAGACATTTTTAAGTGGCATGAAGTCAAGATCACTCAGGATTATTCCTATCAAATAAAACATGTATTTAACATATAATATCATCCAATAGTATGTTCATGTCAGGATGAGTAAATATTTAACAGTGTATATCATGAAGAAATATTAAGCACTATATTCACAAACATATTTCCTTTCATTTTTTTAAAACAAAATATGGACATTTCGTCTCATAAGACAGGACTTCCTGATACAGCAAAACCTAACAATCCAATAAAATTTCATGATTTTTTCAGATTTAACAGTTTTTAAATCTCAACCGGTCTGAAGATCAGTTAAGGCTGTATGTCACAGGTGGTAGAAATCTATAGATTTCATTAGAGTCATATCCCTTACTGCAGTCTTTTACTCGCTGTTACATCAATCAATCAGAACTGTCTTTCATAAAAAGTAGCACAATTCGACCAAATTTATCTAAAGGAGATGCTAAATAGTCTTATTACATAATGTTTTAATTGTCACTAATATCAGTGTAGGTACATATGCATACCCTGACATATCGTTTCAGATTCGGTGTTGGGAGACAGAAAAGGAAAAGCTAAACCACCGAAAACATTCACAGAACCCAAGAATTTGTTTCTTTAAAAGAATTTAACTACAAGTTGAATTCTATACAAATATATTCATATCCTGATATCAATTTTCTATGTAACACAAATCATACTCCTGATTTAAAAACCTCCTTCTCTATCTCTCTATATCAGCTAACCATATAAACAGTGAATGATAGATGTGAACACCTGCAACCAAGAAAATCAATTTGAGGAAAATATCAAAAGCTATACACTATCATACAGGGAAGGATATTTGATCAATAAACACTCCAAATAAAATTGCTAATTGTGTTCAAGTGATGGGAAAAGTGATGTTGTGGAAAACAAATGAGATATTGATTGTTTTGCTGAATTTGGTATAGTTAGCAAAGGTTTCACTGGACCAAGTTGTGTAAGTTTTAAAGAACATTTTTCTGATAGTTTTTGGAAATATTCTTCCCAAATTTTCATGAATCAGATGAGAAACAGTCATGTCACACATCTATATACACTATAACTTCATTTACCTAATGGTTTATGAAATCAATGATAACCTGCATGTTTTTTATGCATATTCACCCAGCAGTAACACTCATCTTCAATTAGTATTTAGTGATCCCAGAATGAAGAGTACACAGTCTCAAAGAAGATTGTTAAAGAAATAAAAAAAAAAAGTATACATGTTAACTGAAAAAAAATAGTGTGTTACCTGTGAGTGGCTCCAGTTTTCCATCCACATTGAAATTTTGTCCAACTGCCTGTCGAACTCAACACTACTTTGGGTAGGGTGCCTCCCTCCGTGGCCCCTCCAGTCCAATAATCGTCGCTCATCGTCCTCACCCTCGGGCCTCCGCCTCACTGCCTTTCCGTCCCTCTGGGGTGACAGATGCCCCTTCCTCCCAGCCGCTGCAACTATTGGCGGTCTTTCTGCGACTGCGTTCATAACTCCCTCCTTCAGTAAGTATCATGAATAGCACACTTTGAATAACTGTTGGTCATTTTACGGTTTAAATACCCACGTTTAAAAGAGCATTCTTGTATATCGAGCGTATACACCGAATACCGGTCTCCAACTGCAGCGAAATCGACAGGTGAACACAAGCTTGGCAACACTGTACAGGTAGATTTTCGCGACTATAGCTCATTTCAGTTAAGTCCACATCCGCCACCGTCTGATCTCTGAAATACACAAAAAGCATATTAATAGTATGGTGTATTTCAATCAAAGCGATGCAAATAACACTATTTTTCTTCCGTATAAAATAATATAATGCATTTAATTTCCGTTATGATATAATACTTATATCCTTGGCGCATTAGTTTCCGACCCCTTATTAATCTCGGTAGCAATGCTACGTCGATGAGTTGCAATTAACTAATACGTTTATGTATTGAAATGTGTTAGTACTATGAAGTTTATTTAATAAAGCGATCAGTGAAAAAAACAGTATTTTTCTGAAAGATATCCACATCTACCTGAAATGGCAGACGTGTGCATCAGAAACTTGTCAACCCTTTCGTTGACCACTGAATCAAAGAGACGCTTGAGTTAGCCTAACAGTACCTAAGAAGTGCACTTTTTAAAACATAAAATCATCATTTAAAAACGGGAATGATATTTCGATGAGGAAAAAATCAAAATTGAAATCATGTGAAGAAAATGGTGAATGTCTGTCAATGTGACAATGTCAATTCTAAAGATTTTAGGTGTTCTTGTTTCATCTTTTTTCTCTCTCTCAAATTTCATATCACAAACTTTCAAATACGAGTGTTTTCTCTTATGCATGTCTACAACTTATTTTATCATCATATTTTATGACTCTCTTATAGAAGTGTCACATGTTACAATAACCAAAATAACCCGGGTTCTAGGTCACAAAGGTCAATACATTTCAACGATATGGCCACGCTGAAATACATAGCGGACCGGAACCGATGTCTAGACGATATTGGAAAAATACATTTGACACTATCTTTTTTTATTATGTACCTTTGTTTACGAATTGGCATCCATAAAATTACATCCGAGACAAAAAAGCTTAAAGAGAAAATATATAAAGTATGGACCTACATTCTTCACTATAATGATAGAGACGGACCTAAGTAGTTTACAAGTCTTAACTGGGACATGCTATATTAGATTAACAGCAATCTGTTGAAGTAAACTTCTACAAAGTGTAGTAGATAAATGTGGCATGCAATTAATTGTGTCCTGTAGGTCGAATATGACACCTGACGCTATTACAATTAAGTCATCGGTTACCGTGACTGGAGACAATAACGAAGGCACCCTTTACCATCTGAAATCCGTTTCCCTTTTCTTCTCTAGCCTATTTTTCTATGTAATCTTTGAAACTCTCGAAGTCAACGTCATAACGCTTTTTCGGAGCCACTATATTTCATATCTGCATAAGTATGTTTCTGATTGAAATCAATATTCAGTTACGGCATAGGGATATGGTTAAATATAAATTTTTTAAGCTGTAACTTTCAATATCACAAGTAAATGATAAAACATTATTATATTATGACTGTATCTATACCACCTTGTGTAGTGTCTTACCATCAACATGAACCAGTACCGCACTGAGAAATGACTTATAGTACTTTGGTCAGTAACCGCACTGTGCAGTGCCTTACTTGACTTGGTCCAGTGCCGCAATGTGGAGTGATTCACAGGGCCCTGGACCTATAATACATGCTGAAGTGACTAACGGAACACTGGATCAGTACCGCACTGTGGAATGTGGAATGACCTACAGGAACTTCGGTCAGTAACACACTGTAGTACCGTACTGTGGAATGTGGAATGACCTACAGGAACTTCGGTCAGTAACACACTGTAGCACCGTACTGTGGAATGTGGAATGATCTACAGGAACTTCGGTCAGTAACACACTGTAGTACCGTACTGTGGAATGTGGAATGACCTACACGAACTTCGGTCAGTAACACTGTAGTACCGTACTGTGGAACGTGGAATGACCTACAGGAACTTCGGTCAGTAACACTGTAGTACCGTACTGTGGAATGTGGAATGACCTACAGGAACTTCGGTCCGTAACACTGTAGTACCGTACTGTGGAATGTGGAATTACCTATAGGAACTTCGGTCAGTCACACTGTTGTACAGTACTGTAGAATGTGGAATGACTTACAGGAACTTCGGTCAGTAACACACTGTAGTACCGTACTGTGGAATGACCTACAGGAACTTCGGTCAGTAACACTGTAGTACCGTACTGTTACTAACAGAGACATGGACCAGTCTCACAAGAACGTGGCCTCTACCATATTGCAGGTTCGTGGACCAGTTGATCTACCACAATAAGTAGTTACATGGCTCCAGCTAGGATAAGGGCCGCCGGAAATTTGATCGGAGTGATTATCATTGCAACATCAACATTTAATATATGAGTATGCGCCAGTTTCCTGTATATCTCAACTACTCGATATTGTGCCACAGATTGTGAGTTCAAAGCCAGAACAGGACGGAAGTAAAAATTGGTCTTCCTTCGTCATTGATGACACTGTGTGTATTGTAAGATACGAATTAAACTACCCGTTGTAATTGTATGATATATATATATATAAACTCAGACACAGTATATTTACTGATTGGTTTCTCATGAGATAAAGAATGAATATTATTCAGATTATTTTTGATAAAGATAAAGTTTATAAATACACGCGTGTCCTATTTCAGTACGTACCTTTGAAATTTAATCCATTTCACGATTTTTATCTGATCGTCGACCAGTTAGGTGTCCGGTATATGTATCATGTTTTCACATATCTAATTTTAAGTATCTAATAATTTTAACCCGGCGATATACATAAGTCATCTGACATATGTAATACAGAATATTTCGTCAAGATGAGGAACATTTTTATTTTTCCGCTCAGTAACGCCATGCAGTATACGGCATGTAAACTTCGATCATTATCCTTGCGAATTTTGTCACTTTTTGCAACGATTGATGTTAAAAAATGCAAATTCTTTATTCGTGGTAGAGGTATTATATCACATGAAGAATGTATCTTTAAGCAGGGCTTGTCAATCTTGGACTTAAATATAATTACATATTTGGATTGATGTTTTATTCGTGTTAGCAACACTTGCTCACTACATAAATCAATTGGAATAGTATTCATATTATATTATTCATTTACACGTAAGTTTTGTTAGCACGATACTAGAAAATAATTCGGTTGGTAATAGATATATTACTTAATATTATGTCTAAGTTCAATAATCTCTTCAAATTATGTTGTACTCATGTCATAATTACGTGTTATTTGCGCTTAATAACACACATTAATAATAAATAAGCACTTCATAGCAGAAATATATTTCAATATAGAATTGCCAAAGAATTTTGTATTTTCCCGCCTTTTGTACTGTTTGATGTTGTTCATGAAATAATGAATATGACTTTTTTCTTTGTGCTAAAATCAGACGAAATTTCCTCGTTTTCTTTTTATCTCTTTAAATATTTTCAAATGCATATCGTAAAATGAAAGAACAATTAGCTGTAGTCTTCACATCAGATGTAATCGGGTCCGTGTTTTCCCCTCGGAACAGAATATTGAAACAGACTATACCTAATGAATGAAATCGAAAGTTGAAAGAGAAAGTGGATAGTGTCGCAAATGACCTGGTTAGTATTCAGTACAAGGAAAAGTATTATATCCTATGAAAACACATGTCTTATCATTAATCATTTACTATTACATACTTAGGCTATTTCAATCAGGATATTGTGTTTATTTATGAACATACACATATGACGTAAAGCGGTCGTTGCTCCATGTGTTTAAAAGATGGCGGTCATAGTGCTCGACAACGGAGGCGGGTTTGCTAAAGTTGGATATTCTACCGACAAAGAACCGAGGTATATGTTGTTTAATGTACGGTCGGCTGGTGTTTGTGCAGTTAAAGACATATGTAAAATCATAGAAGACAAACGGCGTGCTTTCTGTCTATGTGCATTCATTATATTGTTGATTTTTGAAATTAACGTTGACTAACAATGGCAATGCATCAGTGTTTATACGACTAACGATCTCGCTTCTTGCGTTTGAGACACATGATCAGTATGGGGTTTAACAAGCACATAAATATGAAGGCCCCTTTTCTGTTACATTGAGAGAGTTTGTGACATGTTCGAACGATCAGTAGTCGAAAGAAGCTCTTTTGAGCTTATGTTGATTACTAATACAAGACCGAACATTTCTGTGTCTAATATGATAATTTAACGTCGATATTCACAACTACTTATTATACTGTTCATACACTTAAATTTGATGAACATCTCAGTTCTGTCTCTAAAGTATGCACGATTATTAAAAGTATTAAAAATTATAACAGCATAATAAATGTGAATTTTGACATAAAATTATCATTTTAGAAACAGAAATGTTTGGTTTAGTAATTTACATAAGCCTAGAAGAGCTTGTATTCGACTACTGGCTACCCTGACACAAACTCTTTCAGTGTAACAGAAACTGGGTGTTTATATCAGCAGAATGTGCTCAATGATGTGTCTCAAATGCAAGAAGTGAGATTGCAATTACAATAAACATTGCACTTGCTTAGTCAGTGTTCATCAACCTAAAAACAACAACAACATAATGAATCCATGTAGTCAGAAAACATGCTGTTAGCCTTGTCTAATGTTTAAACAATCATTGTACCTTATCCAAAATTTTACATCTCTGCTATCATTACATTTCTTAACCATCAGCGCTACAAATTGAGTCTGTATTGGCTGATAGAGCAAAATCAAAAGTGGTGAAAATACAAAAGTGCTGAGTAATTGTCACCTTGTATTAATGACATAAATGATGTTACATTGTTTATTTGATTCTCGTCTCTTGCACTTGCACAGTTATGTAGGAATGGTTTAACCAATATTTTTACTTTGTTGTTAGAGAATAGGTCAATAAAACATCCAACATAAACAAAAAAAAAAGCCAGATTTTACTCAAGCTGCATATATACTGTCCACATTTCTCAGTTTAACAATGTTATCATTTCATTATGGACGTAAACATTGATACAAATTTACTTAATTTGATATCTTTCTGGTCATTTATGTTGCCATTTTAATGAATTAATAGGAATAATCCTTTTTGTGAGTATTATAACAATTAATTTTACATAGATTACTTTCTGTTTGATTCCTGACTGGTTGCCTTATCCTAACTGCTTCTTACTGAAATTGGATCATAGATGAAATGTGAAATACCTGGCATTTGTTTGTCTTTAACCAGATTCATGGACAGACAATTATATAAATATCTTATGGCATACGCAAAGGCTAAAGGTACACATAACTTGAGAGTCTGATTGACAGCAGATCATAGTGTAAAGTTGGCAGCGAGTGGTCCTTCATAAGCCATTACAGGACCAAACATATACTACTGTAATATACACTAAGTTTGTTGACAGATTTAGACCTGAATGAAAATTTTAATATGTAAATATGACAGACTATACTGGGTACATAAAAAGCTACTAAAAACCACATTTATATACGCTGAGGGACCAGATCTAGAATAGTTCAGTTGGTAGAGCATTATATTATTATAACCTCACTTGAGGATCCAAGGTGAATAGTTAGTCCTGATCTGGTCATTGGGTGGTGTACTGGTTTTTTATTTCTTAGGAAGTGTAGATCAGAGACTATCCTTGGCTGTCTGTGGGCAAAACATTTAACTCATTTTCTCTGGATAACATGTGAAGGGCCTTATGCATGATGTTTATTGAGGTGAACACCATGTACAACAAAGACACCCTGCCTCAAAATGACCTGGTTGTTCATGGGGTGATAAGCTCAGTAGACTGAATAAAAAATATATAATGCAGTTTTGTAAATTACATAAGAAAGCATTCCAATGATATGTTTTATTATTACACAATTTGTTTTATTTTAAGTGTGACATATCAATATCAAATGATAACAACAGTTTACATAAGAAGAAAACGTAATTCAATTTTAAAACAATAATTTTGAAAGCCAGACTGAAAGTTATATGGCACTTGATGATAAGTACGAGTAGTTGATCCATTAGAGTATTAGTTATCAATGGTGTATGAGTAGGAATATTACGTCTGACTGTGGTAGGGTAGGGGTTCTTCGTAACCTGTGGTTTGTGTAGGGATCACTCACAGTTCTTAACCAGTAATTCCATTATAAGAATATTATTTCTCAAAAAAATGGTTGATCTTGAACTTCTCTTGTTACGATAAAGAACGGTTGATTTACCTGCATCTCCGCTTTATTAATAATCAAAATGTGTATTTAGAATATTATGATGTTTTGGTTTGTTATTTCATGCAATACCTAGTACATAAGCAGTTGAAAAATACTTGAATAGGCTCAAACACTTTTTGAAAGTAGGTACAACCAGCTTTATGAATTTGTAAAGAAACAAGAGACAACTGAATTTTCAGCTTCATTATCTGCAATGAAAAGAGTGCTATGTCAGTGTTCAATTGAAGAAATTGATTTCCTCCAAACATGGATATTTCCTGGATTAGGTAAAATTTATGTTCAAAAGCAATCCTACTATGGCAACACCAATTATGACAATGGCAATCATGACAATGACACCACACAACATTTATAAGAATTCACAATTAAAGGTATGGAGTATGCATATGGCAATGCCTATTTGTACTACCGCTAAGTTATTCTGCATCAAACATTTAATAACTTGCAAGGAAAAAGTAACTTGAAAAAGAAAAGACAATTTCTATTTCCTACAAAATGCAAGCTTGATGCAGAGGTATGAGTGTGTCTTTTGTTCACCATTGAATGTACTTTACTTGAATTAATTACAATTTAGTTTCTTACTTTGCCAAGGAAGAGAGAGACGTGTCACATTTGGTACTTTACACCCTTAGCTTCTGTAATGTAGGTTTTCCTTCTATGAACATTTCTGGATAAAAATTCTTGAGTATAATTTCCAACAATACAGTGATGACTTACCTGCAGGTACAAATGTGAATGAGATTTCCTGTACAGGTACACATATATCCCATCTCTCCTCTCTCCCTCATGGTATTGCTCACAGATTAAAATCATTTTTTTTTTCAAAATCAATTTCCAGTTATCTAAGTAAAAATAATTAAAATAAATTTTTCTTTTGAAAAACAGTTTTTTTTTTTCCTTTAAATTTTCATTTTTGATAAGATTTCTGTGAGACGTTAGTCTACAACTGGTTGTAGAATTACCTACAGTTGTACACAGCAGCAGTACATTATACCCGGGTTGTTAACAAAGAGTACTTTAAAATTTAAATCCTTCATTGTTTCACAATCACTGATCCATGTTCGGACAATCTGAAATCTGATGTTGATGATATCTGAACACTTTCTGACAGTCTGAAACTATCAGTTCCTCAAATTTAAAATCCTCGTTTGTCGTATTACAACTATGAATATCAGTTTATATGTTAATTTTAATTAGCCCAGCTGTATACCAGTAAAACAGAATATCGTAGCTTGAGTTATGTTAGTCAAGCATGAATTATATCAGTGTCTACACAATTACATGGTATATGCTTATATTTGTGTGCTTTGGCAGTGTGTCAGATAGCATTACATAGTGATCTTCTCTTCCAAATGACACCCTGAATACATACTTTGTCTAATAAAGTAACTAAATGGAGGTGTGGTCTGGGTCACCAGCTACAAATGGCCATTATCTGCTAGACATTGTTAACTGATTATGTTGAGGTGTATGTTGAGTTATAGCACCACTGGCCTATCTAATAGTACTGCCTCAAGTAATTAATAAATTCTTTGGTTTTCAGTGTACAATCTAAATTTATCATTGTCGCTGGAACTAGACATGTGTTTGTATAGCTTTAGAGTTTATCAACAAGATAATAAGATAGGAAAAGATACATTTGTGAGGTAGAAATCTTGTCCAGATTTGAATGTTAATATCAAGATTGAATGTCTTAAAGCCATCTTCTTAATGAAAAATCATCATAATCAGTTGATAAGTATATTTTATGAATAAAATGTAGTGAGAGCTTCAGTGATGTAAAATTGACCTGTCTGAAGATATAGACACCTGTGATCAAAGGCTAAATTCTGGTGAAATGAGGACACAAACAAGCATAATAGACAGATATTTGTAGGTCTACTCCCAAAATTAAAAAGCATATTTCATCGGTACTGTACTTTTAGGATGTGTCCTGGGCATTTTGAAATTATTTTTAATGTTAAATTAAGGTCTCACAAATGACCTTATTACTTAATACATCACACTCTATCTGGTATACAAATTCATTTTACAAATTTGATTATCATTGTTATTCAAAGATTTCTCAATAGAGAAAGTCTTGTCTTCTTACCAAATGTCCTAGTAACATTTTAGATGGATAAACAACAGGAGTAAATGGAAGACAACATTTTTTACATATATAGAACTTCTCTACTCAATATCATACTCATATTTATTCATGGTGTTGTACAGTATTGATTCTTCATTGCGACCAATGGTTCACCATACACATTTTAACTCAAAGTCGGGGATGGGCTTATGGGCATGGCAAGACAATGAAATATCATAACTTTGTAATTATACTTAACTTTGTAATTATACTTAACTGTCTGAGTGGGCTAAGACGAAAATATTTAGATTTATGTTGTGTATCATGTTAATTATCTATAGTATAAGCTACAGATACATGTACAACATTGTACATAAAGACAAAGTGATTTTATGTTGAATACTTGTCCTGGGATAAATCTATGTCATTTTACTTCTTTATCAGTATTTTTTTCCTCTGGTATTTTTACACAAAAACTTCTTCAAATATGATAATTCACCTCTTTTTGAAATAAAGCTCCCCTGACAAAGCATTTCTTGTGTATAAATATTAGTTGACTCATTCATATGGATTTTCATGAGAAAATTATCTAAAATATTGATATGTCAATTTACATAGCAATATTTGGATGTATGGAAATTTCACTTTTATTTAAAACAAAACAAAAAGTAAATACAGGAAAATTTCCCCTCACTCTATAAAATATTTCCCTTTTCAGAAAAGGGTACATTTCCCAAAAACCTTCATTGTTCCCTTTCATTATATATTGATAGACATTTCTGATTTGGTGTTGAAAGTGTTTGTTACCAATGATATACAAGTGTGATTCAAGTTATAGTTTCCAGCCATACTAACACTGTAATTGGTTTCCTTTGTTTCAGAGTTTTACCTAACTGTGTGACCAAGGCTAAGAATGTTCGGACAAGGATTTTTATTGGGGACCAAATAGAAGAGTGTAAGGATCTGTCAGGGTTATACTACCTGTTGGCCTTCCAGAAGGTGGGTACGGTCAGTCAGGCCACACACAACATCTAATATTGTTTAACTTGTTATTCTGACAATGGTTTAGAGACAGTTAGGGCAGCACTTCTTGTCAGCCTTCCAGAAGGTGGGTTTGGTGTTTAACTTGTTGTACTGACAATGTTTTAGAGAGACAGTTAGGGCAGCACTTCTTGTTGGCCTTCCAGAAGGTGGGTTTGGTCAGTGAGGCCACACATAATGTTTAGTTTTGCAGAATTTGTTGTACAGCCCATGTTTTAGAGATGGTCAGGGCTGCACTACCTGTTGGCCTTCCAGAACAAGCTGAGATATATGGGAAACTCAAAAATATCATTCATGGAGAAAGGAATTAGATAATTCAGTCTCAAAATGCAAATTTTAGACCAAGCTGATTGACCTTTTTGTAAACTGTTTTATGGACATTATTGTTTTAGGATTTGAAGAAAGTCCTTATGTAGAATTTTTGTATTAGATGTATCATTTTATAAAAGACTGGCAATAAAGGGCCAATCTATTTTGCTGATATTTTCAAATTATACATATGTCACATCTTACCTCTACCAACAGGGCTACCTTGTTAACTGGGATATTGAGAGACAAGTGTGGGACTACATGTTTGGCAAAGATTTTCTGAAGGTGAGATGAAACAATAAAATATGGAAATGCCTTTTGCAAACTAGTTCCTCAACAGTTGGGTGCCTCTTCATTGGAAGTTTGATGTCATTACTTCCTTGCAGTGGTTGACCAGCAAACAAATATATTTGCAGCTAGGCACAAGGTCCACCAGTCTGTTTGACTGTTTAGTTATTTTGTTGGTGGATTATTGATTGGTAAAAGGATTAATCAAAGGGTGTAAATCAGTAAAGTATTTATCAGAATCTAATAAGAATTTGAAATGTAATGTGGTGTGAGTCCTTCCTTTGGTTGGTGATTTCCAGATGGTGACTGCAGGTGTATTTCAGGAAAAGCTGTTATCAAATAAGTTAATCTGAAAAATTGGTTGTTTCAGGCTGACTTCAATGAGACCAGTATCATAGTCACAGACCCTTACTTTAATTTCGCTTCCATCCAGGAGGCTATGAATGAGATATTATATGAGGAATACCAATTTAAATCAGTGTTCCATTGTAACCGTAAGTATACATATTCATATGTAAAAGGCTGCACAGATGTAGCTTGTATATAGTGTTAACTACAGTTTCTGTCACTCGGATTAGGTATCAGTGTGGCTTATGCATAGTGTTTGAATATGGCCTGCATCACTACATACAAAAAAAAACTTTATCACGTTCTTTTTATTGATGATTTTTATTTGGATTTTGAAGTCAATTTTCGGTAACTGTTTTTCACTAAATTTATTCTGTTAGTAGATGGATTACAGGTAGCTCTGTTTGGTATAACTTTGTAATCTACCAGTCTGAGACTTATATTCAACTAATCCATCTTTTATGATAGTTCTGTTGTACATGTAGAAGGAGGATATCAGTCATGATAATGCTTTTTATAACTGAAGGTGATGTTTAGTCTACCAGTCTGAGACTTATATTCAACTAATCCATCTTTTATGATAGTTCTGTTGTACATGTAGAAGGAGGATATCAGTCATGATAATGCTTTTTATAACTGAAGGTGATGTTTAGTGATCCTAATTTAAGATTTTAAACCCATAAATGCAGAAAAAGGGAGTGAAATCAGTTGGAATTGAGATAACTTGATAATTAAACAATTAAGTAAATAGCAAATTATTGATCAAAGCTAAGGCTATATGGATTTGCTGTAGTTATATTTCTGTCTGATGATCTTGTTGAAGATAAATAAACCCAGACGATTCCATAAACAGTGTTGACTTTTCTTGGATGAAGGTTTGATTGATGTACTATTGTTTACCCTGCTTTCCTGTCCTCTACAGCATCATATCTGACCCAGTATAAGTACCAGAAGGAACGTCCAGAAAAAGAGTTCTGTACCATGGTGGTGGACACAGGCTATTCCTTCACTCATCTTGTACCATACTTCAAAGGCAAAAAGATAGAAAACTCTGTCAGAAGGTAACTACTTTATTAAAAAGTAGAGGAAATGTAGCGTTACTTTGTAAATTGGCACTTATATCAGTGCTTTTTTATTTCTGTGTCAGATTTTTAGGGTCAAGATGACCTGTAGCCATTGTGTTTCGTCCATTGTCATGCATGTGTTTTTAAAACCCTACTCCTCTTTCATAACTGGATGAATTTCTACCAAATTTGGTCTGATGCATCATTGGATGGCGGTAATCATTTCTTAAATTCAGATGCTTGATTTGACGCCTTGGGGTTGAGGGACAGGGCACCAAAATTAGATTTAATACCCTACTTCTCTTTTCTGCTTGGTTGGATTTCAACAAGCTTTGGCCTGATTCATGAGGTAGGGTAGGCAATTATTTCTTAAATTTAGAAATTTGATTTGACCCTTAAAAAAGTTCTGTATTCTACAACTGAATTGTATCATTGTACATGGATTTTCTTTTTCAGGGTGAATGTTGGTGGAAAAGTTCTGACAAATCATTTAAAAGAAATAATTTCCTACAGGTAAGAAACATGTTAATGGAAAATGTGAAGAAATGGCATGCTGAAATTCACGGACTTGTTGAAAACATAAATATTGATTTATTACAGTAAGGTATAAGATAAAAACATGTTGATCATCATGGATGTTATCAGTTATCAGAAAAAAATATGAAGATATGGCATTCTAAAGATTTCTTATTAGATGCAGATAAAACCATTATATGAGTATGTTCTTGTATTAACATTTAAGTAAATTCAGTCATAACAGGTTGTAATATCACAGGTAGTGACAGCTGTCATATAGGTAAAGATCAGATGCTGTTTTTGTTTTACTTGGCTTTGCAGCTTAGGATATGTAGTGATACGTTTGTTTTTCAATCTACATGTTAGTCTGTCTATAAAACTAGATGTAGTATTGACTTTTTAAATCAGTTAGGGAAAATTACTGTAGTCAGAATCATGCAAATATAACTGCTTTTGTGAATTTATTTATACAGCCTCTGCCCTTGATTTTTGTTAAATCAATTAAGCATTAACTTTTGGGTTCATGTTTTTGTTCAATGCATTAAACACCAACACACCCGAGAGTTTGGCAATCATTTATTGCATTTGTTTTATTCTCCTGACAGACAGCTGATGGTGATGGATGAAACTTATGTCATCAACCAGCTTAAGGAGGATGTGTGTTATGTCTCCCAGCAGTTTACCAAGGACATGGAAATAGCAAGGTAAGGGGAGATAACTGATCTGGTAATCATAGTATTTCATTTCATTTTCACAATGGTGATTTACTTTTATGATTTGAGTTGCCAGCCATCAATAAAAGCTACGCATGTGGGTTAATGTTGTATCTCATTTTTTTGTTCATTAGTTTATTCATATCAAAGATACATTCCGTTGACGAGGGGTATCTGCGCTGGCTAACATCTTGAATTTATTTTGTGTTTTTTATTGCATTTGCTTGTTAAATTATGTTGAAAATGATTGGATGGTGTTAAATATGATCAAACAATAACAGACATGCTTTAAATTTCCTAAAATACCTTCTCTTATTTAATTGCTGTCAAGATAGGCTGTCATGACATCAGTGAATATTTCTACTGTATTTCATTTCATGTTAATGCCAGAATTAATAATCTAATCTCCATTATATGCATAAAAACAAGCATAATATGTCCTAATTATTTCTTGATGTCTTACACTCATACTTTATTGTGTATCTTATTATACATAAGGAACAGTACTATGAATTGGAATATCAACTTTGATGTTAACAGCTATATATTTTCTATATTGTCTAAAAGATTGAAAGGTCCAGCCAACACAATAGCAAGGGACTATGTGCTGCCAGACTATACTCACATAAAGAGGGGCTATGTCAGACCTCAGGAGGAGAGTACAGGCAAGGCTAAAGATGGTGAACAGGTACATTGCATGTGACATTCATCTGTTGAATGTTATATAAATATGATTGCTGTGTCATTTACAAAACTTTGTTCCAGATGGAAACACCTTATGATTTGTCACTGCAGTAAAGATGGGGATAAGGGCCATTGTATATACTGGACCATCTGCGTGATAATAGAACATTTTCCAAAGTAAATTATTATGTGCTTGTGATATATTTTTGAGGAGTTATGTCCCTTTTATTGATAAACAGGTGTATGGATTTGATATAGTAACTGAGGTATTGAGTTAGCCTTTAGGTTGTACAATAAACACTGAAATTTTTTCCATAAGGAAAAATAACCTCTCTATTTTATAGAGTGCAGTGTTCAAGTAGCAAACTTTATGTTTAATGTCATCTGTAATGTTTTCGCCATCTGTTCTACTATCAACTACCATAGCTGGAACAATACTATATGTGTTGGAAATTTATCAAAACAGCTGCAAAAAAATCCTCTATTCAAAACAAAAATAATTAGAGAGAGAGCTGTGCTAGTTTTAGGTTTTTAGGTACTGTAAATGTGTATATATTAGTGGTAATCTTATTTTGGTGCTTTTCACACTAAATATATTCTGCTAAAATATGATTACACTAATCATAATTTCTATATTGTTAATGTAGTAATTGTTGCCAATATAAAAAATTTCATCATGGCACATATTTGCCCAACAGTAATAATAAGAATAAAATAGGATTGCACGGAAATAAATACATTTACTGTAATATGGGTGTTATCATGCTTGATTTTGAGAGTAGAGTATTAACTTCAGCAGTTTGGCCAGTTTTCTTTAGATCTTTGGACACTGTCTCTCTTCAGTTATAGGAAACGGAGTTATTGTTCCACCTGTGTTTTCTACTGTAGATCATACGGATGAGTAATGAGAGGTTTGCTGTACCAGAACTGTTATTCCATCCCTCGGATGTGGGTATACAAGAGATGGGTATTGCAGAGGGCCTTGTTCACGCAATCAGTGCCATGCCAGAAGGTATCTGACTCATTAAATGACTTAGAATGGTTTTATACCATAAATGAGTCTTGTAAATTTAAAGAAATAATATCTTTGTTAAGTTTTTCTGGAGTCTTCATCCAAGAAATAGATGAAATATTATTTTCCTTGTTCCAAAGATTTTAACAAACTTACTCATCAATGTAATCATACCCTTGTATCTTCTTGTTTCATCAATTTTTAGCTGAATGCCAATTTCTCCAATTTTTTTTAGACTCTTACCTCCCTTATGTTAAAGAGTAATAAAGCAGATGTGCATTGCTTATTTAAAGGATATAGTGATAAAGGAGTGCATTACCTGGAAACTTTGATGAATGCAATAGGTGTGTTATTTATATCTCAACAGATATTCAGCCCCATATGTTCAACAATATCATCTTAACAGGAGGTAACTGTCTACTTCCAGGATTTCATCAGCGGATGTAAGTTTGTTTAAAAGTGATGGCTGGATTGATCTTACACTGATAACAATGCTTCAGTTGTAGCAGCAGCTAGATATATGAATTTCCAATTCAGTTAGGAGAGGCATATAGTACAGTGTATTACTAAATGTCTTTCTCTCACCTCAATTCTCCTCTCAAATTATTGTCATACTACTTTATTTCTTAAGAGATTTTTTTCAAATTTTATACAAAGACCATCCCTGACATGGTCTCAGATAAGGTTGTGTTCAAAGGTCATGGCCACTGTATTAATAGATATTTGTCAGACTGCACTAATATGAGTAGAAGTGTAGGAAATGGTCACATGTACACGTGCTCCTTTCAGTTCTGTAATTTAACTCTGTATACTCTGCATTATATTATTATATTGTATTTCAGGTTTAATTTTTTCTTGTGACATATTTAAAAGTCAGATGAATAGTCGGCCACAACAGCTGTCTTAACTCTTTCTATCAAATAATACTCAAAATAATATATTGTTACTTCTAGACATATGTAGAGAAAGGTGTTGATAGTAACAGATAAGTCACAAAAACAGTGAGATGAATCGGTGAAAGTTACATTTCAGTTTGTACAGGTAAGATACATAATTCCAATAAATACCCTCTTATTAATCAATTTTATTTCCGGTCCAGGATGACAGATGTGAGAAGTATGGCTCCAGATGAATATGATTTAAGTATCACCAATCCTACAAAGTAAGTCTAATATAGCCAGAGTCAGGCCAAGGCTGTGAAATGTGTTTTTTATAAAGACATTAGATATTAAAAACAAACAATGATGAAGCCAAATAAATACTGTATGTTAAGGTACAGACCAATATAATATTCTTATCCTAAAAGCATTGCAAAATTTTGAGTTAACATGTTCTTTTGTTGATAAGTCAGTAGATGTAATAGTAATCATTGATAAATCTCCAAGTGAGTCTAGAGTCCTATACTCATATCGTATAGGTGGGACTCAAAGAATTCATGAAGTTTCCATCGCATTGCATTGTCAATGGAAATAGAATGTGACTTGTTACAGCTTCTTTAATTAGAAATTTTATTTGATTGATTTTATAATTTCACACACGTAAAATGATGATATTCTAGCCAAGTAAGATGTTTGATGTGATACAAATCCAATTTTTTCTCTATTTTACTTTCTCTTTTCAGTCCAGTGACATATTCCTGGTCAGGCGGTGCCATGCTAGCCCAGGACCCAAATTTCAGTAAACTGTGTGTTACGCGTGAGGACTATGAGGAAAATGGACATGGTTTATGTCTGGAGAAGTTTGACGTGTGACCCATAATGACAGATGTCTTGGCAAATTTATCACAATGGTGATAGGGAAAGACTTGCATGGTGTCTTGGACAACAGAGATGCCAAACAAAATAACAAGTCTAATTATAGATTTTGAGTTGGTTAAGTACAAGAATATGACCAACATGTCGTCATATTGGCACATGAAATCTATAGCATCTCTGTGTGACTTCAACTTCAATGATTCACTTCACCTGATAGTGTTGTTACACATTCCTAGCTGGGGATATGCATAGGTAGTTATTTTGACTGTCTACGCCTAACTACCGTAAATACTTCGGTATCTTGTCTAACTTCAAGGTTGAAACTTACTGATAATTATGAAGGACATGGAAAATGTATTTCCAAAATACTACCTTTGTGAAAACTGTTTGCGATTAATATCTAGTAACAGTCTTTCGAGGTTTTGACTTTACACATTAACTATGATGTGTTTTTTTCATTCCACAGAGATCAGCAAACCATCTTGTGTTCAAGATATTTCAGTCATTAACTGCTCAGGTGCTATGAGTAAACAGAAAAGAAAATATTGATGTACACCTTATATTATATGTAGTTTCCTGGTCTAATTTTGTTGTTATTGCTAGGTATCAGTATACCAAATAGGCTGTCATAATGATATCACAGATGTATGAACCTGTATTTGTTTACATTTTCTTGATCTATGGACCTTAAAAAGGCCCACAAAAGTTAATGTAATTTCTTCATATTACATTGTTCTATAAAATGCAGATTTCTGTAATATCCATTTTATATTTTGTACATTTTATTTTACAAAATCATTGATCAATTTTATTAAATTATTTTGTAGGCAATTTTAAATGTGTTTACCAGATGTGTTCATGCCACATTCTTCCATCATAAAGTCATCCATCTTTCATATCACTAAACAGAACTCATCTGCCTCTGTTAGATAGACCATTTGACAAAGGGAGATATTTATAAATAAAGTCAAATTCGGAGTCAATGAAATGTTTTGTCGGTTGTATATGTGGTAGTGTTAAGTGAACAAGTCCACATACTGTATTTATACTGCAACAAACCCATGGGACCGAAACATTTCTTTATACTCAAAAGTCAGGAGTATGCCTATTACAGGCCAATTGAATAACATATGTTTAACTTAGCAGGATAGGCTTATTATCAGGTATATAGACTTACTGCCTTAACTATATGGCATGCTGATAAAACTGCTGAATATTTGTCTTGACTAAGGCTTCTTTTATTTGTTATTGTTTTTTCTTTAATTTTGATTTGTTTGGGGTTTTTTTTAACAAACTGAAAGCTGTAGGTAAATTTAAACTGCATATATCCATGATATTGTTGTCACTTTTAAGTCAAAGCTTGAATTTCTGTACCATTTTTTAAACTAATGGGCAATATTTTGTTAATTTAGTCATATACATGGGTCTAAATTGATTTCAGAAACTGAATTTCAGTTCATGTGTATAATGTATAATTTCATAGGTAATCACCAGATGCTGGCATCTGATCTGAATGGCTATAATAGAGAAAAGAAAACATAAATAACCGTCTTTACCAGACACAACAAATGTGTAATTAATGATATTAAAAATTCATTTGTTGCTTCAATTTTATGATTGTTTTCTTGTTTGTAGTTTTCACGTTTTTCTATCAACCTATCACTTCCTCTATTAGGATACACGAAGTCCTTGAATATTTATTGTTTAATGCAGACAAAATAGATCAGAACAGTATCAACTATGTTATATAGTGTAGTGAAGGCAGAAGTACCACAAGCTGTGTTATATAGTTTAGTGAAGACAGAAGTACCACAAGCAGAAGTACCACAAGCTGTGTTATATAGTTTAGTGATGTAGAAGTACTATCAACTATGTTATATAGTTTAGTGAAGGCAGAAGTACCACAAGCTGTGTTATATAGTTTAGTGATGTACTATCAACTATGTTATATAGTTTAGTGATGTAGAAGTACCACAAGCTGTGTTATATAGTTTAGTGAAGGCAGAAGTACCACAAGCTGTGTTATATAGTTTAGTGAAGACAGAAGTACCACAAGCTGTGTTATATAGTTTAGTGAAGACAGAAGTACTATCAACTATGTTATATAGTTTAGTGAAGGCAGAAGTACTATCAACTATGTTATATAGTTTAGTGAAGACAGAAGTATCACAAGCTGTGTTATATAGTTTAGTGAAGACAGAAGTACCACAAGCTGTGTTATATAGTTTAGTGAAGACAGAAGTACCACAAGCTGTGTTATATAGTTTAGTGAAGACAGAAGTACCACAAGCTGTGTTATATAGTTTAGTGAAGACAGAAGTACCACAAGCTGTGTTATATAGTTTAGTGAAGGCAGAAGTACCATCAACTGTGTTATATAGTTTAGTGAAGACAAGCTGTGTTATATAGTATCACAAGCTGTGTTATATAGTTTAGTGAAGACAGAAGTACCACAAGCTGTGTTATATAGTTTAGTGAAGACAGAAGTACCACAAGCTGTGTTATATAGTTTAGTGAAGACAGAAGTACCACAAGCTGTGTTATATAGTTTAGTGAAGACAGAAGTACCACAAGCTGTGTTATATAGTTTAGTGAAGACAGAAGTACTATCAACTATGTTATATAGTTTAGTGAAGACAGAAGTATCACAAGCTGTGTTATATAGTTTAGTAGAAGTACCACAAGCTGTGTTATATAGTTTAGTGAAGGCAGAAGTACCACAAGCTGTGTTATATAGTTTAGCTGTGTTATATAAGAGACAGAAGTACCACAAGCTGTGTTATATAGTTTAGTGAAGACAGAAGTACCACAAGCTGTGTTATATAGACAGAAGTACCACAAGCTGTGTTATATAGTTTAGTGAAGACAGAAGTACCACAAGCTGTGTTATATAGTTTAGTGAAGACAGAAGTACCACAAGCTGTGTTATATAGTTTAGTGAAGACAGAAGTACCACAAGCTGTGTTATATAGTTTAGTGAAGACAGAAGTACCACAAGCTGTGTTATATAGTTTAGTGAAGACAGAAGTACCACAAGCTGTGTTATATATAGTTTACCACAAGCTGTGTTATATAGTTTAGTGAAGACAGAAGTACCACAAGCTGTGTTAGTTTAGTGAAGGCAGAAGTACCACAAGCTGTGTTATATAGTTTAGTGAAGACAGAAGTACCACAAGCTGTGTTATATAGTTTAGTGAAGGCAGAAGTACCACAAGCTGTGTTATATAGTTTAGTGAAGGCAGAAGTACCACAAGCTGTGTTATATAGTTTAGTGAAGACAGAAGTACCACAAGCTGTGTTATATAGTTTAGTGAAGACAGAAGTACCACAAGCTGTGTTATATAGTTTAGTGAAGACAGTTATATAAGTGAACAGAAGTACCACAAGCTGTGTTATATAGTTTAGTGAAGACAGAAGTACCACAAGCTGTGTTATATAGTTTAGTGAAGACAGAAGTACCACAAGCTGTGTTATATAGTTTAGTGAAGGCAGAAGTACCACAAGCTGTGTTATATAGTTTAGTGATGTAGAAGTACCACAAGCTGTGTTATATAGTGTAGTGATGTAGAAGTACCACAAGCTGTGTTATATAGTTTAGTGAAGACAGAAGTACCACAAGCTGTGTTATATAGTTTAGTGAAGACAGAAGTACCACAAGCTGTGTTATATAGTTTAGTGAAGGCAGAAGTACCACAAGCTGTGTTATATAGTTTAGTGAAGGCAGAAGTACCACAAGCTGTGTTATATAGTTTAGTGAAGGCAGAAGAAGTACCACAAGCTGTGTTATATAGTTTAGTGAAGACAGAAGTACCACAAGCTGTGTTATATAGTTTAGTGAAGACAGAAGTACCACAAGCTGTGTTATATAGTTTAGTGAAGACAGAAGTACCACAAGCTGTGTTATATAGTTTAGTGAAGACAGAAGTACCACAAGCTATGTTATATAGTTTAGTGAAGACAGAAGTACCACAAGCTATGTTATATAGTTTAGTGAAGACAGAAGTACCACAAGCTGTGTTATATAGTTTAGTGAAGACAGAAGTACCACAAGCTGTGTTATATAGTTTAGTGATGTAGAAGTAATATCAACTATGTTATATAGTTTAGTGAAGGCAGAAGTACCACAATCTGTGTTATATAGTTTAGTGATGTAGAAGTACTATCAACTATGTTATATAGTGTAGTGATGTAGAAGTACTATCAACTATGTTATATAGTGTAGTGAAGGTAAATGCACTACCAGCTGTGTTATATAGTTTAGTGATGTAGAAGTACTATCAACTATGTTATATAGTGTAGTGAAGGTAAATGCACTACCAGCTGTGTTATATAGTTTAGTGATGTAGAAGTACCACAAGCTGTGTTATATAGTTTAGTGAAGACAGAAGTACCACAAGCTGTGTTATATAGTTTAGTGATGTAGAAGTACCACAAGCTGTGTTATATAGTTTAGTGATGTAGAAGTACCACAAGCTGTGTTATATAGTTTAGTGATGTAGAAGTACTACCAACTGTGTTATTAAGTTTAGTGATGTAGAAGTACCACAAGCTGTGTTATATAGTTTAGTGAAGGCAGAAGTACCACAATCTGTGTTATATAGTTAAGTGAAGACAGAAGTACCACGAGCTGTGTTATATAGTTTAGTGAAGGCAGATGCACTACCAGCTGTGTAATATAGTTAAGTGAAGTCAGAATCACTACCAGCTGTGTAATATAGTTTGGCAAAGACAATGATAGATAAAAGTGCCACCAACTTTAGAAGTTTGTTGAACATAGGGTCACCAACAGCTGTGTTATGAAGTTTACCTAATTAATGTACTTTGCGACTTGTGAATATATATATGGGGATTAAATTCCTACAAGATGCCAAAGGGCATTGACAGTCAGTTTGTTGTAACATAGGGTTTGTCATAGAAATAATCTTGTTAACAAAGTAAAATAACTTTAACTACCTGCACCCTGCACATGTATCGCAAAAGTGCATAATATTCTCTGCCATCTTGAAGATGCTTAAAACTTAAAATTTTGTATATAAAGTTAATTTCAGTGTGGTAGCATGATAGACAATTTAAAATCAATGCTTTTATAAAGAAGCTTACATAAACATATAACAGTCTCCAATAAATGCATTCACTTACCATACATTCGGATACTGCCCTTAAATGTTTATAACTGGTGACAGGAAGATGTTCATTTATAAACAGGAAAACTACAGAAAATTTATCCCCTTTCAGTGATAAATGTGAGACCTGAGAGTCTGGAAATTCCCAATTTTTGCAAAGCACATTAAGATCCTCCAATCCATGAAGAGTACATGATTCTACCATACATGGGTCTCCAGAAGAAAATTTTTCAATTTTGACTTAAGTTAATCCATTGAAGTTTTCTGCAAACATTTCAGTAAATTTATGATGCCAAACAAAAGGTAATCACAATATCTGGTAAGTCACCTAGACCAAAGAAAGATTAAAAACAATAGAAATTTGTAGCAATGTATGTTTATATCACTGTAATGTCAAGTTTTTAAACACATTCTATTAAAATAAATATGTAGAGATTACGGTTACTGTATTATATACATTATCAAAACAATGATGTGTATCAAACAAATTTTGAACACCAAACAAATCAAAAATAGTCAGTATTTAACAATATCACAATTTCTTAGGCACATTAGCAATAATCGGTTTTGGCCGTGTTTTAAACAGAAGTCTTTTTCGTATGATAGCCTTCACAAGATAATGAATGTCTGTATGTAACTGATCTGTGCTATTCTGATCTGGCATTTCATCATTGTCTGAGTGTTTCTTTGTCAGCACAGCAAACGGTTTCTCAAGATCACATAATTTTCCATACAGAATATGATGACCTATGATGAGTACAGGAACATTCTGAAAAGACAAAACAGATCTTATAACACTATACCTGTATTTATTTGGTTGTGAAGAAAGAGAATTCAAGTCGCTGACTAACATAGTCATGGTAGATTAGCCTTGATTGATGGGAATTTTCCTTTAGTTGAATGGTAGAGGGTCTGGCTACAGATTGAAGGGTTCAACCCCCTGTGAGGGCTGGGTGATTTTCATTTCTACTTCCTGTTACAAATGTGTACCTATGTAAATATGTTTAATGGTCTGTTTGTAACATTATGTCTGAACCATTTCAGTTCCTTTATTGTGTCATAGCTTTAACTCATCAATCTGGTGAAGACTGCTGTAACTCTTCCTATCACTAGGCTCTCACTAGGCTCTCACTAGTGTCCTGGCAACATGCTAAATACCAACTTATATTTCATATTGTTAGTATATACTGCTACTTTCATTAATATCTATCCATTCTCCAGATCCATTTTCCTTTTTACTGGATTTTTATCATAATACTTCACAGCAAATTTGACTATATATATATGAAATGACCTTTGCGCTTAGGTCACACTGGCTATACTCTAGACAGTAGAGCAAAAGGTATCTCAAATTGCAATCTTAACATCTTACATCTTAAACGGAAGTCATCATTCATGCAAGCATCGAGGAGTTCCACCTTTAAAGCATTCTTTTGTAAAATTTAATCATGTGTACACTTAAACGATACATACAAAAAATCTAGTGCATAAATTACAGTTTAATTCAGAAAATTGCAGCTCCCAAATATATTTGTTGTTATATTTCTGATTCATTAGGTTTAAGACGAATGCACATGATGTTGGACTCAAAAAGTGCTATACCATTACATTACAAAATGCATTGTGCATTGATGCATGATTGCTGTTTGAATGACATTCTAAACAAAATTTGTACATTTTACTCTTTGTAACATGATAAATTATGTTTTCTCCAAGTCCAAAATCAATCAATATTCTAACCTTGTGTGTAAAATGAAGATCACCAATGAAACGTCCATTGAGAGAAACGTTGTTTCTGGTCTCCAACCCTCCCTGGAGGTCAATGATAGCCCACTCCGGACACTGGCCTGGTCCTCCTGGTCTATGATAGAAATTATACCTGATGTACAGCAGGTAAACTAAAAATACCATGAATGTGTGCTATCTCAACAATATTGTTTATAGTGCATCCAATACAACATGACAATAAACAGAATAAAGCTGATATTTCATTCGCTTTTAAACTTCAGCAAACTGCTTTTGTCCTGTAGATATTTGTATAACTTGGAACAATATCTGGGAATGTGTGGTTTCAACATAAATTAGCTGAAAAGGGATGCTGGTAAAGAATTTCTGTAATATAGTATTGAATTGTTACATTTAAAAAACTCATGTAGTTATATCTATACAATGAACAAGTAATGAAGTCCAGCGACAAGCTAATCCATATCTTCGGGGCACAATTTTACAGTGCATAAATATATTCTTATATGCTTATATTACAACCATTGGAAAAGTGATCAATATTGGACTCTTGCATGTTATTCTAAATGGTTATACTCAGAGTATCCTTGATATTACTCCTGACATAGTATCCTTGATATTACTCCTGACATAGTATCCTTGATATTACTCCTGACATAGTATCCTTGATATTACTCCTGACATAAATAAACTGTTTGACATTTTGACTGATAGATGTTTTATCTCCACAACAGAATTCAACAACTCTAATAGCAATATCTGAAAGAAAAAAATACTACAACTACCAGAGACACATTCCTGTCAAAGCATCTAGCATCTCACAAGAGACATATTTCTGTCAAATCGTCTAACATCTGGTGTGGTTTACTTCTTATAATCTACATCATACAACAGGTACTAGCCTCGCCTGTCAATATTAACACTAAAAAAAAAAAATAGTAATGATAACACCAGTTCTGTAACTGAAATGATTACAGCGGCCTTCCCTTCCTGTCACGCAGAACATCGTTCAGTGTTCAGACTGGTAATGTTCTACAAAGTTCTAAATAATCTTGTGATATCCTTCAGATTTCCTAATTCCAGAAAACATGAGAACCAGGTCTTCTTATTACAATCCCCATGCTTTCATACACATGTAGATATCCAAAAATGCATACATATATTTATAAGCTTATAAATTTTCTTTCTATCTTTGCACAATCACTTGAATTATCATAATCTTCTCCCTCAAAGCTGCCATCCCTCTGTTGTATCTTTCCTCTATGTCCTTCTCTCCATCAAGTCTTTGTACATAGTTTCATCATAACCAACCCTCCCCCCCTCTAAAAAAAAAAAAACAAAAACAAAAAAAGCCTATGTACATATCCTTGAGTATGACATATAAGGCCAAAATAAAATAGTTGGTTCGGCATATCCCAGGCAAACCTAGAAAAATCACACCATTAATTCAAATTTTTTTCTGGAAAATGGAAATGAATATTGTTTTTATTAAGATAGATATTTCTCTCTGGAAGCTACTTTGCAGATTTAAAAAGTACATCTCTCAAAATACTTGAATGAGACTACAAGAGTGGATGATTCAAGTACCTTGGTAATGTTATGATGTTTTGATTCCAGATTCTTGTTTACCTCTTAGGCAGTTTTCACAGTACAAAGTGACTGAATAGATAAACCTGCACCTGTGTCCATAAATGACAACACAAAGAAATAATATTCTACAGGAATTTAGAATGTGCAATGCATTTTGATGCATGATACTGTGGAAAAACAGAGTGTAATTGTTAATAGAATGAAATTTTCATTCAGAATTTTCTGAGACTTAGCATTGTTAGGAAACTGGACAATCTGAAATACAGTCATCTGATGGAAGCAAGCATGAATTGGTACGGAATGTGGAAACATGTTTTTAAATACTTTTGTTAAAGTTTACATAGATGTCTGTGTACCATGATTCACATATATAAAATATTGGAAAACAGTAATCTTAGGTACTTCAATATTTTTTCTAAAGTACACTAATTTGATATGACAGAAATAGACTCAGAATTTGATTTAAGGTCATAGGATATAAAAAAATGAATATTGGTTTTGATAAAAATAGATTCCAAATATGAATGACTTCATTATCCTACTGTTGCTCAATTTGTGGCAACTAAAAGAAGGCATTCTCTATCATCTGTGAATACAATGTAGTGACCAGGCATGTAGAAATGCTGAAAAACAATCTTTGACATGTTGGCAAACTACTCCACAATAAGCAGTTGAATAAGAATTCCAAAAAGGTAACATATTCTGAAATAAGCAGGTTTGTGATGAAATGAGATTGAATTGTGCCAGGTCCATGCATAGTTTGGTTAAGTTCTTCATAATTTCTCAGAAATTTACGTGTTTGTAAATTAAACCTCCACCGCTATCGCTGTCCCCTTGCCTGTATGGAAACTTGCTCAAGACTGTCCTTCTTCTACTTCTAAATTATAATGACTAACTTCAACAAGTTGAAAATAATGTCATGAGAGAGAAGGAGATTTACCTGATAGAAAAAGGAAAAGAAAGAATATATGTATATAAATATTTCATTTTAAGGGTACAGTGAGTGGAGAGAAGTTTGTAAGGATTCAGTGGTAGGACTGGATGAAATGATGTCTGGTGGGATCTTATTCCACTAAGATATAGAACGAGGGAAAAATGATTGTTTTCTAGCCTGTTTTCTGCAGCGAGGAATTTGGAAGGATTTGTGATGGACATGACTTGATTGCCTGGTCACTAGTTTTAATCTATTTCGTGGGCTGATAGACAACTGGTTATTTACACCTTTAAACATTATGCACAGGCTTATTTCTCTGCGTCTATCGGCTAGGGGACGCCATTTAAGGTGGTTTATCATATCAGAGACCCTAGATGTGCTATGAGAACAGATGTTTTTATTTAGTGCATAATGTGCAGCCCTGCATTGTACCATTTCTATCTTGTTGATGTTATCTTGGGTTTATGGGTCCCAAACAGGACATGCATACTCTAGGGATGGAAGATTTGTATGTCTGTGCCTTAACTAATGTTGAACTTATTTTTAGATTACAATGGAGGAAGCCACAAGTAGAGTTTGCTTTGTTGGTAATGCTGTTGATATGGTTAGACTGAATTGTAACACCCAGGCATTTTTCTTGGTCTACATGTTCCTGTGTATGCCCAGGGAGTGTGTAATTATGGAGAACTGGGTTTTTCGTCCCCCTGTTTACAGACAACACTTTGTATTTACTCAAGGGGAAAGCTATTTTCCATGTATTTTCCCAGAGTGCCAGTTTGTCCAAGTCTTGCTGTAAACTTAAAGCATCACTGCTTGACTTGACAACTAGATATGCAATAGTGTCGTCTGCGAACAGACGGATGGTAGCATTTTGGCCCACAGGGATATCATTGATGAAATAAAGAATAAACTTGGTCTGAGGACCGATCCCTGGGACACACGAGAATGGACATCAATGACAGATTCTGTATTGGCATCAGTATTTTGTCATGAATTTGAATAATATTTCAACTGACAACTAAGTGAACCAAGAAAAACTTACAGAAATAATTCTACGGAGTGTTACAGACTCATTGTCAATTTGTGATAGCAATACAATGTACATTTAACTCTATGCATTCGTTGTAAAATTCTACCTTTCCGCATACTGAACACCTCTTGCTCTTGTAAATCAAAATAGTTTTAACGATGGCCGAATAGTCAATCTGTGGATGGTGTGTCACTACCGACAGAGACATTAAGTCTCTGCTACCGATAAAGAAGATATTTCTCGGAAACCTGATATCATGATTTAGCTAGCTGGTTGAAAATGGCATTGCTCTGGAAAGCATCAGATGGTGGATCATCCGCATGGTGTTCAGTGGGGTAGCAACTAGTTACATGTAGCCAACTACACTTACCTGGCTTCGATGATACAAAATCATATACTTATTTGTCAAATATATATTCGGCTGATAATGTTTACCATACTTACATCTTGATAGGTATCTGCATGTCGTTCCTAATTGTGTGTCTAATATTGAAGGAATTAACCCAATATTAATATTTACATCCACGATACAAGTTAAGTAACCAAAATTACCGCCAAGTTTTTGTGGCATAAAGATTTAGAGTTACCTCCCTTACCAAGCGTCTCATTTCATATATCCGGCAACATGGCTACTGTGGAATCGATGGTTGTTGAAGACCAAAAGGAACCAGAAAAGCCGATTGATAGAGAAAAGGTAGTTTCTTTTGTTACCTCAGTGCAACATGTAGTGTTTGTATCATAATTCCAACACTGATTTGTTATACAAAAGGCAAGCACAGATACCGGTGTTGGTTAAGTTGTGAGTTGGGCTCAGCCACTCGTCAGTATACGTATACGTAATAGTAATTTAGCCCCGCATAAGAGGGATAATTAGCGCTTTCAGTAATCAATAAGTTACAGAAACGCATGATCATTTGAAAAGGAAACACAAATTTCTTTTTAACATTTTAAAAAAAATTGTGACATTTTTTTACCCAAGCAATGCAGCATTATACATTTTACACAAAATTTTTAAAGTTTCCTCGCTTGTTCCTAAAAATCACAAACTTTTAGTGAGGCTAAAATAGAACAAAGGTAACTTCATGCTGACATGCACATTTGCACTAAATGCTGCCACTGGCTATACATTGTAACCAATGAAGAACAGTCCGTGATATAAATTATCATTTTTACACCAAGTTAGATAGTAGAAAAGAACATTTTCTATGCATTTATATACAATATCACATTGGCTATTTAGTTTGGTAGAAATATGACTCCCTTATTTGTTGCGGAGTTGACACTCCATTATGAAAAACCTAACAGATTACTCAAAGACGAACATCCCTCAAAAGCAGGACTATTACCCATATGAGGGACTGTACCCAACTTGTTCAGGTAATCACAAGAATCAGATATTCTGTATGTGAATTATACAGCTGTTAAACTTCTAAAATAGCAGGGATTACATATATATGGAAAGAAAAAACAGACTAGTAAGTAGAAGTACCCTACCTGGTCTGTTCCAATTGCGTTGCACTTCTCATTTCATAGTATTTTTCTTTAAATTCAGCTGTAGTTCATCAATGATAGAATTGAAATGCTTGATTGTTTTCAGACATGTCCACTACTCCTGCGAGTGTTTTGCAGTACAGGAAGACATAACCCATTGAATGAATTCGCAAGGGGTCAGACACCATCCAATGAACTACAAATTTACACATGGTAAATGCTCAGTAAATATAAACTTATCATATGAATGCAGGGTTTATCAGTGAATGAACTTGTCATTATATTTCAAGGCATTTTCTTAAGATTGATGATTATAATAACTTTTTTTCTATTGTGTTACTATATGTATTTGTTTCAATGTCAACCTTCATACTTATTAATATTATGACATTTAGTGATTATGATATCACAATGGAAACGATAGAGAACACATGGCAAACTGCGTTTTCTGTAATATTTCCAAAAAATTATGATTTGCCCTATAATATGCTTTCAAAGAATCATATTGTAATTTTAATGTTTATTATAGGATATGTTGTTGTCAATCTTTCGAGGTTCAACCATAACATAAATATAAAATGTCCTATTAGGAATGTTAAAAACCATGATACAGATCTTTGAAGGCAAATACATGTATATGACTAACCATGAGCTGATGCTGTTCTCTGAGTCTGCATCACAAGTCATCCTAATAACTACAATGTACCAAGTAATAAGATTTTTTGCCCCGTGATAATGATGGGCTTGAGGTACAGTATTACCTTTGTCTCATCACATACCATATCTGTGAACCTCTAAACATACTTGGTTCATCTTTATCCCATGCAGGTAGCATCATAAACATGTTCTACACCTTATGATATTGAGGTGGTCATGCTTGGGTCAAATGTCTTATTGGACAACTCGTGCAAATTTATCCAGCAATGATTCAAGTCTTCCAGACATTTTCTAGTTTGAAAACGTTTCTGATGTCACATGGGGCTAACTAAAAAAAAAAAATTGGCTCATATTTCTAATGATTTTATGTTAACAGTCAAACTCATCATTATGTGCATCATGATCAGATAACCTCATAAAAGATAAACACATGTCATGAGCAGTTCATAAGAGTTTGATATAATATGTCCTTATGAAAACATTGTATGTACATTTGAGAGCATGTAAAGATTCATGAGTTATCAAGTCAAGCTGAATTCCATTGTAAACATAGGGCACTTTAACATGTTTTTGGAAACTTGATTTCAAAATATTGTCGGTCACTTGTTGAAAAGAGGTTTTCACATATTTTGGTGAATCATTTCTCAAGAGTTCACTTTGTATATACATTATAGTAAATATTTGTCAGATCTGAAAGAAGCAAACAATATATTTTATTGTTATTATTTTGTTTTTAAAACCTACAGGATGGATGCTACTCTGAAGGAACTAACCAGTTTGGTGAAGGAAGTAAATCCAGATGCAAGAAGAAAGGGAACATTTTTTGACTTTGCTGTTGTTTATCCTGACCCTCGTACCCCTGTGTACAGAATGCGAGAGATAGGCACGACATGTGCTGGACATCGTGGTCAGGATGATAGTCATTCATTGACCTCCAAGAGGTTCCAGATCGGTGATTACCTAGATATAGCTGTTACTCCGCCAAGGGGTGCTGGTGGTCCCCCTCCCCGTCGTAATCGTCCATACTGAATACCTGTTTGTTAACAGCAGATTTTCAACATCATATTAAGCACCCTGAATGCATCATAAGAGAGACTGATTAATTTGTTCCAGAATGAGTGACTGGTGTTTCTTGTATTTTTGTCTTATACACAAGCAGAAGACATTGACCAAATGATAGTATGTAATATGTTGCGTGTGATCTCTGTTATGCTGTATATGAAGAAAGTAAGATTCTTATTGAACGTTTTTATTTTATATGTGTTGTTTAAGCATTGAAAATTTTTCATGACAAATACTTTCAATGGCAGGATTGGGAGATTTACTAGGATGTGTGTGTGCGTTGCCTTTTTTTGTGTATTAAGGGTAGCCCATGTACCTGCTTATTTCAGTGGTAATCATTCTGATGGAAATTTAACCACTGAATACTGAGTTCCTGCAAGTTTAAGATACCATGTAGTGTTATTTCAGTAAATCTTTAATGTTTTAACTTTCAGCGTTGTTTGTAGTATGATTTTGCTTAGAAACATAACTGTATAGTCACTTCTTGAAACACACCTGGTGCATGTTAGTGGGTCAAAATATTGGGGGAAAAAGACAGAAAATTCCTTTCAACTTTTATTACCAGGTACATCAAGACTTCCATTAATAGTTTTAATCAAAATATGCAACAAGTCATACATTTAAAGATAAAATCATGCTATATTCTGCGGATAAATCTTCAAAATTTGGTCAGTTTACTTTTACATACTATCTAGAACACTGCATGGTACTATACTGCATTTGGCCTTAAACACTTTATGCTGTTGTCAAAGGATTTGGTTTTAGAAACAGCAAATTTTATTTTCTAATTTTAATGAACAAGTTGGTGTCAGTATTTCAAAATGTGTTACAATTAATCAGATGTAGGGATTATCACAGTGTCTGTCATAAGTCAATATGTAACAATAATTAATCATTAAACATCAAATTGATTTAATTTTAACCTGAATTTATAAAAGAAACTGTTTAGTTGTGTTATTTGATAGAAATTGGTGTGTAAGTTGATCTGTGTATTTGGGTCAGTGTGTAAGTTGGTCTGTAGGTAATTAGGTCAGTGTGCAAGATTGGTAAGTGTGTAAAAGTCAGTAGATGTAAATCCATTCATTGTATATTCATTTCAACACATGGAAAATAAAAGAACTTTGACTCATTCAATTCTGAAATTTTAATGTCATTGAGCCTAAATAAACCGACATACAACTGATTTTGTACTGCGAAAAAGCAATAGCACTGAATCAATCCAGATATATGTAACATGGATTGATGGATATACGACTTAAGATAATGTCAGCTCTAGGACAGAAAGAAAGTAGATTAATGAATTATATCTCTTACAAAATACCGACTGCAGGTTACGTGCAACATATCTGTGAAATGTTTCTGATGTACACAATAAATCAGATACCAAAAATGACTGATGCATGATAATAAGTGATTGTCACAAATTAATCTGAATCTGAAGATAAAAATCATCAACTTTATTATAGTGACTGAACAGGTTTCAGGGGAGGTAACTTAGGCATACATTTTTTTAATTAGTTCCACCAACACCAACCTACCATACCAAAATCCAAATAACCGTCTGCCGGCCATTTTATTTACATAACAATTTTAATACTGAGTGGCACTTCTGGGGAGCAGGGAGACCCTAAATAAGAAATTTATCAGAGATTCATCCATTATTTTCTGACATGGCAATAACAAGCTGCAGATGTCAAGATTGCCAGCAGTCCAATTATATTGTTTCATTTTCAAATCCATATCAAAATAAAAAAACAAACCCAAAAAATCAACAACACGTGCAGCTAGGAACAAAGGGACACCTTCATGCAAAGTTGAGATAGATTTGCAAAGTACTTTTCAAGAAATAGATGTAACGTTTCATTTTCAAAATCAAAGATGAGCACAGATCGGCCTTTTTCTATCTCAACTAAAGATCACGAGGAACTTTCAAGGAATTTTCTAGAAATAACGATAACAAGAATGACTGGCATAGCACGAACTAAGTTTCATTTGAATTGCCTACCATCTGATAATTGAAATTCATACATCATACTGGCACCTGTTTTCCTATCTAGGACCAATACTGGGGATTATTGCACAATTATACAGTGATAATGACTGCTTCAAAACCGGTATTCTGTCATGCTGAAGTGTTTCGAATTATACACTTTCATATTGGAGAAAAACACCACGGAGTTATACAGTATAAATGTACATTCTTATATATTGTCCGTTCATTAAACGTGTTGTTGAGAGCATTATTGTTAAACATCAAACTAAAAGGATTGTTGAAGTCTTCGTGTATTGTTAACTTTTAAAATATACGTATAAAAGCTAGACATTGAAGAAAAGGCTACTTTAAAACACTATTCCGTTGATTTTTCATGCTCTTCATCATTGGGTGTTTTCTGGTTAAAACGATGGCACGCCAGGACCGGTATAATTATCCCAAACATCTTTGTCATCGGTTTCGATTGGCCACATGAAACTTTCAGGACACCCATTGGAATTCACGACAGACGAGTATCGCAATTAGCGTTCGTCGCCTGTGTCATCACACAATGTTGTTGTAAGTAAATGGAGCGTCACTCGGTCAAAATTCATCCATTCGACCAATCAAAACATGCTAAAAGGTTATACTACAAGTAGTATGTCATATGTTTATACAGCAGTTGGGATCGTTAACTTGAGAGGTAAGTAACATCAACCTATAGTGGTGGAAAACTAACTTCGTGATTGTTGTAAGATTGGTCTACTTATGGATATGTTTAGTTTGGAATCAAAGCGAAACACGATCTAGCATAATATCGATTGTGTAGTCGCTTCAGTAACATTCAGCAATTATTTTCGTTCATATGTGTGCTCACTACTGTTCCATCGTCGGCATTCGTTACATCAATACATATGGAGTCATGTCGTTTGGGCTGGAATGCGGTAACAACGCTTGCCAGAGTACTGAAAGTCATTTTTGTGGCTGGTGACGGAAGAATTGAAGACCATCGATGTAAAGGCTGTGGGGGCGCCGGGTTAACATCTTGTTGTGGTTCTGGGTCTGTTCCAGGAGTTTGCCCTATTCCACTGAGTCTTTTTTCTAACGTCCTCTCTTTCGCCATGATAACGGCTTCCTTCACTTCAAGTTCCGATTCTCTCCTTTTCAGAGCTTCCTTTTTCCTTCGCAGTCTTCTTTTCTTCTTTTTGACCTTTTCCAAATTTTCGCGGAAAGCCGTATTCGCCTGAAACAGCGCGAGAGGAGGCAGACGTTTTGGCTTCAATGGACCTGTGTTAACATTCCCATCTTCGGCCTGGTGTTTACCCTCCTCATTTGAAGCCTCTCCAGCACCCACAAGTGCGATAGGTGGTAGTTTGGTTTCTGGTTTTGCTGTAAAAGGCGCAGGTGCGACGTTGTTTTGTTTGAATGTCGACTTCGGGGCAATCTGTGGGCCTGTAGGAATGAAGCCGTTTAGGAGAGGATTCTCAAACTGTGAGCTCAAAGACTTTTCCTCTGAATCGTGTTTCTGAAATGGATTTTATATCTAGTATATTTCGTTATAAACTTAGTAAAATCGGAATCACAAGTTAATAGGATTTCACATGCAATTCAGATGCCATCACACATGAGCAGGTAGATAGATTCATGTTATATGAATTTTTCACATGGTGTTTCCGTGTGCCGATAACTTATAACGTATATCAATTACCGTCCGAAAGGTCGTAAACGTGGACATAATACCCGTTAAATAAATAAATAAATATATCAATTATCTAACGTGAAAAAGTTGGTAATAATTTTGCGGATGTAGATAATGAAACAAATCTCATTTAACACAATTATATTAAGTTATTGTGGCAGAAAATCAGAATAAACGAGACTTTATTATAACATAATAATAATTTCTTTATCGGTACCGACCTTTTCTTTACAGCAACATTCCCTGAGTTTGTGCCGGAGTATAATGAGAACAAGAATGACGATTATAATCACCAGGATGATAACTACGACGATGATGATCAACATATCTGTAAAGTAAGAAATGAGGACAAATTCAGGTGATGAAGGGAGAGCTGGGACACATCAATTAAAGATGAACATCATCGAGTATCACAACACGTGACCAATGTGACGGCCAATCACGTGGTACTGACATGTCCATATGAGTATTTATATGTGAATTGGGTATTGTACGTGAGGTTTGTTAACTGCTATTTCTGCTTTTTTCCCTGTATCTTCAATTCGAAATCATTTCATACAAATGACTGAACAAAGGAAATGCTAATGTTCATACTTCGTGTCAAATTACGAAGCTTCTTTCGATCGACTTAACGTCTCTCACACTTCACACATAAGCTACAATCTTAAATCATATTTGTAAAATATATTCAATGAATGTCTTCTCAGTTCGTTGAAATTCACAATGCCTTTTTCAAGAATACACAAAAGCGCGATACTGGAATAAATTAGATCTCGTTCATAACGTAAAACACACCAAGAAAACACCTACACATTAACAATCATAATCCAAAATCAAATTCAATGAAACTAATGCAAAACATGAATAAACAAATATTTACAAGGAGGTTTATGAAAAAGCACGAGGAGCGTAAGACGATGTATTCCGGAAGGCAAAGTGTCTCGTGCTTCATCGAAGACACACACCATGTTTATCTTAGTCAATCCAAGTAATGCTACGTTCTTAAATGAGAATAAGGTATACAACTTAACATCGCACAAAGAAATAGAATATTTGCAATGAGATTGCCATGACGACTGTAACTCTTCCCCATAGTTTTAATACCGAGTCAACTGCATATGTTGAGGGTGCAGGAAGGTTGCTATCGAGAAATGGAAAATAAAGAAATTGAATCATCACGCTTATCACATAGTTTTGTAGTTAAAAGATGACGTAGAAGGGTCTGTTTCCATGATTTCCAATTTTGACGGTTATAAACAAAGGTCGTAGTCAAAACGATTGTTATCCGACAGCAAGACGTCGTCAAAATATCTGGATGTGAAATTAAACTTCCTTGCAATGCCTTTGCGACCAGTTCTTTTTTAAATTCTTTGATAAATTCAGTCTCATAAGAACACAAAACAAGTTAACCAACAGAGGGGTACAATTAATTCCCACAGGTATGCCAATAGTCTGTTGGAAGATCTTGCCACTAAACAAAAAGATTTCGTCAACCAGGAGCACGACGCATATTTTACGAAATTTACTTCGGTATAGTTCACAACCACATACTTATACCACACTTAAACTTTCTTGGGAAGCTCCCATAACAAGAAAATGTTGTCCTTTCAGTTTAGAATGGGGTATAGTGGTGTACAGAGAGGAGAAATCAAACGTTCTTATTGAAGAAATGATTTTTAAAAGAGGGTGCTAAAGATTGATCAAAGCTCTTCAAAATCCATATACTATTGATTCCACGTCTTGAATAAACAGTATCACAATAAGACTGTAACCTACATTTGATAGTATTTAGAATGGTGGTTAGTAGTTAAGACAAAGGCTTGGTTGGACAGTTAGATGAGCCAGCTATAAAACGTTGTTTATATGGATTCATGTGAAGTGTAGGGATCCAGTATAAACGGGGGAGGTCTGTATCCTCGTCATTGACAGGTAATTGAAATGATTGTAATGATTGTAATACCCATTGTATTATATACCCTGGAGATTTTGCATTGACTGCGACAGTCAGAAATTAATTGTGACGTCATAATATAAACAATGACGTTTCGTTATGAATTGATGATGGTATAACAAATCTGTGTTGCCTTCGTATGATTTTCCTGCACAATTTTAATCAAAAACCTTTCAAAATGTCAATTTACTGTATTATATAATAATAAAATCTTTAGTCTGTTTGCATATAATATATTCTTTTTAGGAAACTCGTCAGTTTTGATTTTCGCTCGCCAAGTCATAATCAGTTTCATAAAATCTCATGAAAACTCATTTATAAAAAAAAAAATAAACATTTATGACACAGTTATCAGAAGAAAAGAGGAAAAATAAAACGAGTTAAGAAACCATTCATAATTGCTTTCGTATTGTCAAGAGGATAATATTGGTTTCCAGTGAGAAATGGAGCTAGTGCACACTGGCATGATTTTGAAGGAAAGGTAAACGCTACAGTAGATGGGGTTATGGTAT